TTTTACATACAGGGTGATTCCTATAGTACCTGCCACCGTTTGGGAGCGTGTAGGTGGTGCGTAGGGGAGTATTTTGATATAGGACACTTGGGGTCGAAAATCTAAAATAAGGGTGCCCGAGCCAAATTTACCTTCTGGAATTTCGCGCCTGTAGGTAGGCAACCCAACCGGCCGGCGGTGCACACGGAGCGATCTCAGGGGGCGATGTGTGGCTGACACTTGATCAGAATTTTGTTTAAACCCACGAAATCCCGTCTGCAACGACGCGTATCAAGTGAATAAACACTATGGCAATAGTATATAATAATAGTTGGCTAGATGCAGGCGCGGATCCAGAAGAAGTTTTCACCGGGGGCGATTAAATAAAAGTAAAGATTCTGAGTTTTAACGCAATTTATAAAGAAATATTTACAAGATAATGTCAAGTCTTCTATTTTTGGAATTAGCAAACCGATCAAGTACATGGTGTGCAAAATTGTCATCTTCGACAAGTTCTCTGTGAATATTAAGGAGGGCGAGTCCTGTTAACCGTTCTTGACGCATCGTTGATCTCAACCAGGTCTTCAGACGTCGTAATGATGAGAATGAACGTTTCGGACCCGCTGGCAAGTCAAGTTGCATTGCAAAGCACAATCAAATATTAATTTTGCATATGCACAAAAATGTTGGCACAGTAATTAAATCCAGGCAAATATGATACGGAACGGATACGATTTACGATGTACACATTAAAATAAGCATTTAATTCCAAAGGAAACGACGGACGATTTGACGCCGATTGTTTACTTTTCTGTTCGGTTATCAGAATAGATTAGCAGTTTTCACACGAGCACGAACACGCACTGAAGTGGTGAAGTCCCTGCACTTTACTTACTACTGATCATAATTTTTGTAGCGTCCCGTTTTTTCTAAATAACTACACACGTAACAATGTCAACAATGTGTATTATTACCAGGAAGTTTAAAACGGATAGTCTTTACTCTTTAGAATTTTAGATTTACCGTTTCCGCCGAGTTCGAACGATTCTTAGTTCATATTTTTCTTAATTTTGGTGCATTTGTTGCTTCATACGAAAATTCTCAGGGGGGGCGGTCGCCCCAATCGCCCCCCCTTGGATCCGCGCCTGGCTAGATGTAGGAAGTGCATTGAGAACAACGGTGGCCACGTTGAACACTTGTAAACGTTATTGCTTTTGACTGTCGTTTTCCCTCCTTCC